ATAACAAATGTCTCGATTTGCTTGTTCAACTTTAAATTAGAAGGGGCTATAAGAAACAAATCTGAAAATCGAATCATAGAATCGAAATATTTTAATCAAGACGTTATATCCAAATTTAAATCGAATCATAAAATAATAATAATAATAATAATAATAATCAATAATCAATAAATAATAATAAAAATATTATTAATAATAATAATAATCAATAAATAATAATAATAATAAAAATAATAATAATAATAATAAATAAATAAATAATAATAAAAAAAATTAATAATAATAATAATAAAAAAATATTAATAATAATCAATAAATAATAATATTATATTTTTCTTAAATATTTTAATATATATATTTGTATATACACATATGTATAATAATAAATAATCAATAAATAATAAAAGATCACTACCGTAGTTAAAAATCACTAATTAATAAGTTCAGTTCAATTCATTCCAGTTCAGTTCAGCTCAGTTCAATTAGGAAAACATGGATAACATGGATTTTTAAAATGTTTATTCTATTTTTAAAAACATATATATCCTGAAGATAACAACTTATTTTAATGGATAAATACATAATTTTTTTTTGTAGATGACACTATTTTATCTCATTTCTTACGTAATCCTTTCTGTGAAAATTTATCTACATTGATTTAAAATATTTTAGATATTGGTATATTAGTTAGGAAAATCATATTTTCTTAATATCTTAATTGATAATGTTAATTTTATTGTATAGGTAGACTCGAGATTTCAATGTCAAGAATATTTTGGTACTCTTAAATAGTGTTATTAGTTAGCGCGAGAGATTATAAACATAAGTCCAGTATACTTTTGGTTCAATGTCAAGGGTACTTTGGTACTTTTAAATAGTATTAATAAATTCAAACTTGAAGCTTACTAGCATTATTATTGTATCGGTTTGGTTTTTTTAATTGCAGTTTCTATTCGGATCGGATCCTTAAATCATATCGGGTTAAAATTGAGTCACATGATTATCAAGTGTATTAGTCAGATTACGGGTAGGAACGAGTCATGTTATAATCAAGTCAAGTCATAAATAAGTTGGGTTTATTGAGTAGTGGGTTGAAAGTTTGAAACAGATTGGATCATAAACATATTGGGTAACTGAATTGAATAAAACTGAACTGAACTGAGCTGAACTGAACTGAATTTCAACGTAAGAGAACAGACCCTTAGGTTTATTGGATTTTTATCGGGTTTTAACGGTTTTCGGTTTAAAACGGGTCGGGTTACTATCGGGGTTAAACGTAATCGGTTTGGGTTGCTTTCAGTTTCGGGTTGTAACGATTTGGCTTGATAACGGGTCGGGTTAGTAACGGTTCACACAAATTCGGTTCAGTTCAGTTTCGGGTTGGAAAAATTGGGTCGGGTCAATTTTTAGTTTCCAAAAAACGGGTTTTAAACAGTTCAGTTCCGTTTGGATCGGTTTGATATTATCGGGTTTAACAGTTCGGGTCAGAAACTGACAGCTCTAATGTGGTGACTTGTGAGATGTAAACCTGTAGTGGTGCGGATTTTGTAGGATTTAATACATGTCATATTGTTCGTTTTTGCTTATGACCAAACCTATACAAAAATATCGCAAATATGTTTTTAGCTTGACATGTAGATTATTCAAAAAGAAATCCTTAAAAAATGATTTTAGGGCCCAATTTTATAAAATTTTACCAGACCATTTCCAATGTAGCATTTGTAGAATTGTAGCCCCGCCTCTGTCTTCATCCTACATTTAAGGCAAGTTCGCTCTCTTTTTTGCATAAATCAAATGCATAATATTCTACCCCCTTAATCCATTCAACAAATGATGAACAATGACAACTTGACAAGGGTAGGGAGGTTCGGATAGGCATAACATGAAAATAGTCAGAGTTAACATAAGTCCATTACAAGCTCGACATGGCACGAGGGATACGTCAATGGGCCATGAATTATGCGTGTACAATACATTATTTCAAATATTGTGCAAGCTCAACATGAGCACGATGAGGCGGCTCGCTTATTTTTTACTAGTCTAACTCTAACATAACTATAAAACTTATTGAGGTTCACTGGCATGGCACGACACATGCATGGGCTTTTGGTTTGAAAGACCAGGGCTTGAGAACGAAACAAGCAAGCACGGCAGGGATTAAAACCCAACTAAGAAGTCTTCTGTCCAGCACCCTTTTATGCACACAGCCCAACAGAAAGTTTAATAAATTGCTTGGTTTATCAGATTAGTTCATTTACATCTTATCTATTCTCCATAGAAGTACCACTACACATTAAATGTTTCCAACAGAAATCATATTCAAATTTTACTATGATTACTATGATTATGCATTACCATAACACATCTCTAAGGGCAAATATTATATGGCTTTATAACCTTGATTTGCTATGATATATATTAATTTTCTCTTATCTATTTCTAGGCTAAACCATATCAAGCTACTCATAATTAAAGTTTTTGGGTAATGATGCATTATGCTAAGTTTTGTTTGAACTTGGGGGTTTGCTGTGGTGGTAAACATTTGTGTTTGAACTTATGCTTAATTATCAGAAAAATTTGTCAATTAAACATTATCCAAAAAAGGTGCTTAATTACTACCCGTAAACAAAGAAGTTGTTAATTACTTTACTATTTTAAAAGTAAATTGTGTTATTAATTATATTACCCTTAATAATGATTGAATTGTACAATTAGGCCCTGTTCTCTTCACCTTAAAAAAAATAATATTAAGTAAAAATAATTTCAGTTCAGTAAAAATAATTTCAGTTCAGTAAAAATAAGTTCAGATCAGTAAAATTCAGTTTTCTTAAAGAAAAATTATAATCGAAAATCAGTAAAAATAATTTCAGTTCAGTAAAATTAATTTCAGTTCAGTAAAAATAAGTTCAATTCAGTAAAATTCAGTTTTCTTAAAGAAGAATTATAATAGAAAATCAATAAAAATAATTTCAGTTCAGTAAAAATAATTTAAGTTCAGTAAAATAATTTCAGTTCGGTAAAATTAAGTTCAGTTCAGTAAAAATAAGTTCAGTTCAGTAAAAATAATTCCAGTTCAACAAAATTAAGGTGAATCAAACAGAGCCTTGCTATGTACAACCATTTTTGGCAAATTGATCCAAATATGACGTGACTTACAAAAAACAGCTAAATGCTATAATTCATACAAATTAATTTTTATCAAGGTAGAAACTAGTATTTAGGACCGGACAATGCCCTAATTAAATACGTGAGGTTGATCATTAATATACGTTATAAATTATGATGACTCAATTTTCTTGTAATTAATTTTGTTATTCAAATGATCATTTGCTATATAGAAAGTTACATAGTTTGCCTTTCAAAAAAAAAAAAAAAGTTACATAGCTTAGTGGTAAGACATTCAATTCTAGAATTAGAGGTTGCATATTCAAATCTTGTAGATAAATTTTTCAAACAAATGGAAAAGAGAGGAATGACATGCCATAATGAGAAGCTGAGTTATTGGCATGACTAATAAGAAGTTGATTGGTGACATGACGTAATAAAAACACATTTGTATACATCCGATCAATGTAGAGTAGTATTACTATATATAGAGGTAACTTTTATTGAATTTAGGCTAACTTTTAGACTTTTTTTGACTTTTTTTTTTCATTTACGGGATAACTTTTGATCATTTTAAAGTAACTTTATAGTAGATATGCAATATTTTAATGTAAATTCGATTTTTTTAAATGTTTGTCGGCGTAATAAGAGGGTTCTAATCGACGTACAAGCATTGATAATGAAGATACCATTAAGGTCCTGTTCTGTTCACCTTATTTCCACTTATTTTAGGGTTAATAAGGGTTGATAAGATCGAATAAGATAAATTTAGGAAAAATAAGTTTAGATAAGTTGTGATAAGGGGCTACCCAAGTTTAATTTATAGCTAAAATAAGTTCAAATAAGGGCTAATAAGTTAAGATAAAATCAGATAATTTTAGATAAGTTAATAAGTTTAGATAAAATCAAATAAGTAAAAATCGATCAGGTGAATAGAACGCACACTAATTGTAATGGTATTAGAATAGTTTATGATGTTTTAATTGTACAAATAGATTGAGTAAATTTCATGATATCAATACTCCGTAGTACACAAAATATAACCATTGAAAATTAAAGGAAATTTTGACAATTACCACCTTCTATTATGTCCATTTTAGCAATTATCACATTTTTTTTTAAAATTACCACCATCTATTTTGTAAAACATCAAAAACTTCCACCTTCTTGCCTCCCAACTGTCTAATGACGTTAGGTGGGCCCCACTCTTTTCCTTCCCTCCCATTTCTCATTCCTAACTCGATTTTCATCTCCCCTTTCACTTTTTTTTCCCTCAAAGAAATCAGATCACTTCAATTCACTCCTCCAAACCAAAATTCACGAACAATATTTGGTGTTGCTGCAACATGACAACGATTCCACGAAGAAAGGTATGTTGTTCATCTTAATTTAGGGGGTTTCAATTGACTTTAGGGTTTTTGATTTTCAATTTGGGGATCAAATCAGTGTAGTTGAAATTAGGGTTTGCAATTCAAATTAGGGGTTAGAGTATTCAATTGGTGAACTAATTAACAACAATTTGTGAATATAATATCACATTACACAAATTTGTATGCAATTAAAGTGTAACGATTTCTAGGGTTTGACAAATTACTGTTTAAAGTCAAATTACCTTGCTATTTTTTTTTTACTCCCTTTTGCTGATTCCAGCAACCAAATTCCTCCTAGCTTGGTCCCCCCTTCAACGCTATCGTTTTCCACCCAATTCTACTCTCTTACAACGCCTGGAATAAGGTATAAATTTGGGACAATGCTGCAACTTTTTTGACCAACAATTATGGCAGAGAAAGAGGATGTGACGCAAGGGAGTAAATTTTCTAAACAAATGAGGTGGGTGAAGTTGGATTAATTGATATTAATGGCGAAGGAGAGAGAAGAGAGACAGGGGAGTTGAAAAATCAAGTGAGCATAGTGGAAATGAGAGGGAAAAAGAAGAGGGGAGGTAAAAGTGGGCCCCGCATGATGTCATTAGGCAGTTGGGACTTGAGAGGCAAGAAGGTGGGACATTTTAATGTTTTATAAAATAGAAGGTGGTAATTTTTTTTAAAAAAAAAAAAAAATAGAAAGTGGTAATTTCTAAAATAGACATTTGATAATTGTCAAAATATCCCAAATTAAATCGAGAAAAACACAATAGAATTTGAGGGGATGCCCAACCAAAAGATGTGCAAATGTTGAAGCTTGGGAGCTGCTCCTATGGCGTCCGAAGCCTCTGCTTCTTCCTGCGCCATCCATTGTTTTACTCAACTTCAACTTCTCTAACCAACCAAGGTAACCCTCCTTCTTCTTCATTCTCTACCTCATTAGCTGATTTCTTAGTTAATAATCTGGGTTTCTCCAATAAACAATCTCTCTCCTTTTCCGCTAAGTTCACTAAATTATGGAAAGCGGGAGATACTACTGAATTCAATTTCATTGAAAATGTTGATTCTGTTATTCAATTCTTTAAACAAATTGGGTTTCAGCAATCTCATATTCAAAAAATCATTATTTATGAACCCCGGATTTTAGTTTCTAGGGTTCATGAAACCCTAAAACCCAAAATTGAGCTTCTTAATGACCTGGGTATGTCTGAGTCTGATGTAGTTCAAACTATTGTAAGAAATCCTAGGATATTGCGCCAAAGATTGGGTCCTGTGATTCATGCTCTTAAGAATGTTTTGGGTAGTGATGAGAATGTTGTTAGAATTCTCAACCGATCAGGTTGGATCAACTTTCAGTGCGCTGCTAATTATTTGATTCCCAATGTTGAACTTTTGCAAAAGTATTGTGGAACTTCTAGTGACACAATCCAGAAACACATTTTTCGGCAGCCTAATATTTTTACAGTGAAAACTGATGTGCTTCGAGATATCTTAATTAAGGTTGAACTACAGTTAGGGATTCCTCGAGATTCTTCGATGTTCTTGTATGGTGTTAATTTACTGCTTTGCTGTGGTGAGAAGAATATCAAGGATAAATGGCAAGTATTTAAGAGTTTTGGATGGACTCAGTCTGATATCATGAAATTGATCAGGCTAAATCCTATGTGTTTCTCTAGTTCAGAGGCAAGGATCAAAAAAAGACTTGGCTATCTGATGAACGAACTGGGTTACAAGCCTGATTATTTAGCAATGGAGACTAAATTATTCATATGTAGCATGGAGAAGAGATTATTGCCAAGACATCGAGTCTTACAGATTTTGAAGGAGAAAGGGCTTGTAAGGGTGGATTATCGTTTTTCTACCATTATTGTCTATTCTGAGTTTGTGTTCTTGAAAAGGTTTGTTCTGCCATTTGAAGAAGTCCATGAAGTTTATGCTCAAATGACAGGTTCTACGGTGGGGTCGCTCAATGTAGGAAGATCCAAAAGCCAATCTTAAAGGTGTCACCAAATTCTAATGCTGCTTGATATTTGTCAGTGCATAAGGTATCAGGCAATGTAAATTTTGTTATGCTCATCAAAACAACTTTCAATATTCGCAAAATCATTTCCTCCTTGTCTGATGTAAATGTAATACCTTTTATAAACGAACTAGGAAAGGTTGTAGGCCATTGTGATTGGGAAGGTTTCATTGCAATGCCATTACTTTTCACAATGAGTATAAGTAAAGTTTCATTTTTTTTTAAAAAAAAAGAAGAAAAAAACAGGGTTTGATTCAGAGATTTTTTCTTGAAGAATTGGACTACAGAACTCTTTGCATTTGGTATTCCTATATGTATACCCTTTAAGAAAATTCTTTGATATCATGCTATGTGGACTGTGATGGGTATTTCTTGGTGGAATTTGGTGTTGATTTATTACTGAAAGAGTTACATATCTGATCTCTCTTATTTTCCATTCTCTTTTCCCTACTAGTATTATACCTTTTAGCGGAAAACTTTGCACTAGTTGCAGTTCTATGATGTTACAAGAAAGAGTAGCTTTCTTCTAGATACTTTTGTGTGATTTAAATGTATCGGCTTAGCAAATCTCAAAACCGCAAACAATGGCATTTATCTTCTTGTGAAGTCTATACTGCTTTTGTTCTCTTGCTAGTGGCAGCACCTTTGACTTCCTGTCAATATTATAACTCTGTGAAGTAGCTGAATGAATTAGTTTTAAGAAATGGAAAACATGGCAGGCTGCACTGCAGTATGTGTCTTCTTGTACATAATGATGTTGTGACCAACTCTGTTTTATCTTGGAGTTTTTGGTAGCAGTAGCTTAGTCTTTACATGTAGGCTTTTGAAGACTTTAAGCCTCGGTTTGTTTTGATGGAAAATATTTTTCATAAAAAATCATTTTTTAAAAAGATCAATTTTCAATCGAAAATATGATTGTAAAAAAGGTTTCCTAGAAAGTAAAAGGAGAGTACAAGGGATGGGAGGAGGGGAGGAGAGAAAAATAGTGAAGTATGGAGTAAAGATAATGTATCATACCTTCTTTATAGAAGAAAAATGGTTTTCCTTATCCAAGAACTAACTTTTCACCAATGGGAGAATTGTTTTCTACCCTTGACAAAACAAAGGAAAATGGAGTGCTGAAGGTAAATAATTTTTTTCCACCAAAACAAGTGGTACCTTGATGAACGATAGTACCATATATATATATATTGTTGTAAGTCTTGATTCTTGATCATGTCAATGATGTATTGTTGGGAAATAGAAATTTAAAATTGTTTGCTTAGATGTATGCTAGTGTAGTACTATTATTAAGCAAAACATTGATGTCAGGTCAGCAATATTTTCTGCTTAATGACTATTATACCAATGTCAGCTCAAGACTTTTACGGTTCCTATCTGCAAAATTTCTATCACAATCTTGGGAGCAGAGGTGTGCTTAATTGTGGACTGGATTTTAATTGGCTAAGCGCACCAACTTGAGTATCGTTTACAAAGGTGGCCTGCTTGTTTGCCTCACTTTTAAAGATGGGATTTGGTGCTGCAGCTGGTCTGATTTTCATCACAGCCACAAGGGCTCATAATCTGGATTGTGTGATGTTTTCTTTTTCTGAGCCGGAGCAAGTCCTGCATCTGAAGTTGATACAGATGCACAAGTTGAAGTGGATGACTTGAAAAGCTTTTTTTTTTTTTTTTGAGCCAGAGGTGTGTTTAATGACCAATTAACATGTTTTGGATTATGTGGAGATTTAACGAGAATTAAGTAACTCTTGACTCTTAACTCTGTTGGTTTTTAGCAGTAAAAGCGAGCTTTGTATTGGTCATCTCTACTGGTGATTATCAGGGATGCTCTCCGAAAGCTTGTTACTAATGCTGGTGCTGCCCCGTCTGCTTCTCACTCGATCTTGAAAAGAATTTGGCAGCTTCAAGTTCTACCCCGAGTCAAAATATTCGCCTGGAGAGCTCTGCAGAATGCCCTTCCAACTCGACACTATATACATTATCGAGTCAGAGAGTATGATCCGGATTGTTGCATCTGTTAACAGGGTTTTCAAACTACTATCCACTCTCTCAGGGACTGTAAGATCGCAAAGGAAGTCTGGAGTAGGAGCAGATTTGCCCAAGTTGTCGGATCACGAATAGATAGCGTTGCTGACTGGAGGGAAGGGTGTCTAGCTGAGTTTAATGAGGTCATGAGGTTGAGGCTGCTAGCATTGTCACTCTCTGCTGGGATATTTGGAGTGCTCGTAACGCATGTATCATGAAAGGTGAGACCCCCACTCCGGTGAATAAGTGAGCTATGCTATTAACGCATGTATCATGAAGTTTGGGACTCGTTGAGTGGAGCTTCAACGAGGCTGAATGCTGCTGGGGTTCCTCTGCCATACGTGGAGTCCCCCTGCTTCAGGCTGCTTTAAAGTGAATGTTGATGCAGGTGTTATGATGGTATTTGGGACTGGTTTGGGTGCAGTGCTGAGGGATGAACATGGTGCTGTTTGTGCGAGTTTGGCTGCTCAATCTCTTGACACTTGGGAGCCAAATATTTTGAAGGCAATGGCTGTGCTATCGGAGGGGAGGGAGCTGGGCGTGCAGAAGCTGGTTATGGAGTGTGACTGCTTGCTTGTTCTCTATCCACTTTGTCATTGATGATATCTTAGCCTTTTGTAATAGTGTTTTTTTTTTTTTTTTTTTTTTGACGGGAGTAATAGTTTTGTTAATGTTCATTGGTCTTTTGTAAAACGAAGAGGGAATGAAATTGCACATCATTTGGCACACTTTCAACCTTGGAAGGTTAGCCAAAGAATGTCGACAGATGTCATCCTGCCTCGCGTGTTGAAGCTTGTTACCACTGATTTAATGAATTGAGCTTTCCATTTTGTGGGTTTTATTAAAACAAATCAAAGAAAAAAAAATGCTTTGAAAGTGTGAAGGTAGTGATAAGAAGAAAAATAGAAGCTTATAGTTGAAATGAACTTTGTTTGGGAATTGCGACCTTACCCACTCAAGTGAAATGAACACAAAAACGTTTGAATGCAATATCTCTATTATATAAGCCAAGACATGGGATTGTGGTGTGTATCCACCTAAAAATACTTTAATACTTTTTTGACTAATACTATAATGCAATATCACTGTCATCATCAAATTCATCATGAATCATTCACACAAAATATTGATTTAAAAAGGGCCTCGTTATCCTCTTAGTTCATCAACTTTTCCTTAACTTCATCTTTAGCGCCTCAAGCATTGTACAAATTCTATCCAGCATTCAGCACAAGCTATCATAGATGCAAGAAACAGCCAATTAAAATGAATTTGAAAAACTAATTTTGAATCCGTAAAATACAGCAATCTGGTGCAAACTGTCCTGTGTTCTTGTGCTTAATCACTGTCTTCACTGTCATATTGACAAAGTGACTGCAGTACACCATTAGAGGTTGTGCTTTCATGCGGATTCGTAACTTCCTTGTTCAAAGGTTCTGTGTTGTCTGGTTTTTGAACTGGTTTCTTCTTCACCAAGAATCTGACTGATGAAGTCTGCAAGGTGGGTTGTTTACTATCTGAATGTTCTGCTAAACATAAATGAAAAACAACTCAATCAGCACAGATAAAGCTTCTAGAATGATTTATCACTGAAAAATGTGGAACATGGTATCAGATAATGAAGTTCAAACTTGCTGCTTCACATTCTATTCTTTTTATTTTTTATTATTATTTTTTTTTAAGACCGGGAGGCCCGGGGGTGTTGATATAACGGGAAGCACTAAGTTGGTGTCAGGTTATGACAACCACTTCGTACAATGACAAACCAACAAGGCTTGTCCATTGACAAACCTATATTGCCTTTTCTGTTTCCCTAAGTTGGCATCATTATCCTTCAAAAGATACACCACAATAAACTTCCAGATCATTTAAGAATTCTTACCAACTAATCCAATCAGCATTATTCAGTTTTTTTTTTTTTTTTTTTTTTGAGGAGAATCAGCATTATTCAGTTCATAACAAGATAGTCCTAAATGGTCCTGAAGAGGAGAACTTTCAAAACCCTTATATTGGCAAGATCAAGTTATATTATTGGGCTGTAAGGATTATTCAATTTACTATAACATAGTGGCTGCATACGATGACTTGTGAATGAGAGTCATGCAGATGATAGTAGAAATTACAATTATACATTGTTGCCTTTTTTTACCAACATTTGTGATCAATGCCATTTTGTGCTATATTTTCCTTCCCATTTTGCCACACCTCTAAAAGCATAACATTTTGTTGCCTTAATTGCATTTCTTACACTGTATATCTAAAACATGAAGAGCAAAATAATACTCCCTCTATTTCTGACAATTGCTGTAATTCAAAGAAGAGGATGAACCGATGAAGTAATAATATACTATACCTTTGTTACTCAAATCTTCAGATATATTACTCTTTGTCAACACATCTGTAGGTTTACTAGCATCATCTGAAAGTTTTTGTCTCTGCATCACAATAGACCAAGAATCATGTCAATAGCCTGATTCTCACAAATCACAAGCATAGATCAAGTAAACCAAGGTAGAGATGTAAAAGTTCAACATTCAAATAATTCATACTCTGATTTCCACATTAGCAGAGAACACTCTCACAACTTCTATTAAAAGAGGGGAAATTGGCAATTGTTAAAAACAAAAAGCACTCTTAATCTTCTGGATTGATTGAAATCGGTCAGTTACCATCTCAGAAATACGTCCTCATGGGTATTTAGTATTTCAACACAACACTTAAGACAAAGATTTATTCTTAGTAAGCACAAAGATAAGATTATTAACCTAATCCCAAATAAGTCTAAAATTTTTTATTCTTAGTTGGTGACCGTTGCATCTCATCAGTGAGGTGCACCCCTAGTTCACAACAATATCCAACCTTAGATCATCTTTTCCCTTAATTCAGAAATCCTAATTTGTCAATGTAAACTCTTAGATTATGCGACTGTTGTAAACCTTGCACTTCTGCCTCTCACCTCACACTTTGAGGATCAAATTTGAGGGCATACCTTGCAACTTTTGAAACTAAAATTCCATTGCACAGGCTTCCAAACAGAAGAGCTGAAGGAGCTACGTACAAACTAAAGCAGGATAACACCACAAACATATACAGAAGCCCCAACAACACAATACTTAAAATAAATCACACAATAATCAGCAACAGAAATGATTTACCCACAATCCCCTTCTAATATATAGAGTATCTATAACAATCAGGTAACATAACTTCTCTGCTTCAACAATTATCCAAGCTTACACTATTGTGCTTACGAGACTAAACACTCAATATCATAGCTTCAGATAGCCCAATAATGTAACTTTAAAACACTAAACCCTTTTGATGCAACAACTCGACATAGAACTGTGAATGATCACAAGGATCCCATTTACTATTTAAATTCAATAAGCATAAGCATACTAATTCACACAAATGTCCCTATGCTCCAAGAATGAATTTCAGCACCATATACAGGCTTCATTATTAGATAACTTACAGTACTTGTACGCATGACCAACATAATTCATCCAGTAGGGGTTTCAACCTGTGACCTTAGGTTCTTTTGCTACCAATTGCAATTCTTACAGGTAGGGATGACCAAGTTAATGACTTGTTCTAATATAAGCAGGAAGTTGCAATGTAAGCAATAGATGTAGTGAGATGACGACCTTAGAAATCCACAATTCCTCGTCATGTTATAGAACAAAAACTAATAAAATAATTGACAAACAGTTATTGGAGCCAGCGTATTACATGTGAAGAGGCAGACAGCAGTGATAGCACACAATCAAGAACCAGAAATAGTACAACTGCAGTACTGAACCTTAGAGCCTATTATGTTCAAACTCAGAAATAGGTGTCAGGTGTCACAATTGGTTGGGTATGGATCTAGAGTTGGGCATGAAAGTTTCAAAAATAAAGACAAGGATAATGAGATAGCAATTTCTAAACTTTAACACTTAGAAGGAAAAACAAAGTATTTTCAATGTTAATGCTCTGTGCTTAACATTATGTTCTCCTTTAAACAAAGACAAGTATTAAAACAAGATTCAATCCTTCTTATATGTGAAATTAGTTAAGCTAATGAGAAATTACACAAATTTAATTTTTCCAGTCAAAGTTTGTAAATTGTAAAAGAAAAAAAAAAGTTAATTTAACGGCTTACATGAGAAGTTGTAGTAGCTTATCATAAGTTAAAGAGTATACGGCCTTAGTTTTAAAAGGCATGAAGCACACCAAGGTGCAAAAATACTTGGAGCCTAGGCACAAGGAGAAGGCGTGCACCTTTTGTAGGTGAAGCGCACTAAATTTACATTCAAAAATATCAATTAATTTCTACTTCCTCGGATTATTTATTTATTTTTTACTTCCAAAACTTCTCATTTCACACTTGCCATTTCATTATTTCATTTCCTAATTAATTTGATTACAAATATGTAAAAAACATTAAAACATGATATTATAAAAGTATAAATCAAGACAAACTAACAAGATCCCACACAACTAAATTTATCCTAAACTATAAATCATTACAGCTAGTAAAAGTGGAGTATATGAACATTGCAAAACTCAAAGTGTTGCAAGTAAAAAAAAAAAAAAAGAGGAAGTATTAAATTCTAAAAAAAGAATTATGACAAACAGTAAAAGGGCCTGCGACAGCTAGGGTTCTTCAAATGGAATTGGGGGATACGGGGTTTCACTCTACTCTAGTATTAAGGATTTAATCATTTAAGGTAAATATGACAGTTGCAAAGTCACAAGGTAATTTATACGAAGTATTTTACAAAAATATCTTACACATCAGCTACTGACCTTACAACATATGGTGCAAAGGCAAAAAAGCTTTGCAGCCTTGAAAAAAGCTCATAGGCATGTGCCTTTTGTAGGTCATTGCACTTGGCAGAGCTAAGGTGCCTGCTCTCGTGCCTGACTACGGCTTGTGCCTAGGCAAGCTTCTATTCACCTTACCTACTTTGAGTCTTTGACCAATTTTAGCTATTTATACAATAATAAAAAAATAAAGACTTGAGGGTACTTGTTGAAATCGTCTTAATGGATAGTTTGTTAATTTTCAATTGTTACAATTTATATTTGTTGATAACTAAAGATATTATTGGTCAAAAATTCAAAATTCTGCATCGGCATATGGAGCACTTAAATAAAAAACAGAGAGAGTCATACACCCTCAAGTAAAGGCATTGGTATCTTACTAATTAAATATAATCTATTAATTATTACCTTTCTTTTGGATCCATCATCTCCTTTTCACACAGACTTTTCCATCAAATTAAACATACAAATACCCTACTAACCCATTACATCTAATTTTTTTTATTAAAATAACAATAAAAAAATCAAAACACAATATCTTCAATAAACACTACACAATAGTACTTATTGAGCTAATGTGGCCAGAGTGAGTAGCACATAATTGCGTTTCGAAAGAAAGAGGCAAACACCGCAATGAGACATCAGTAAGACCAGCTGAAAAGCATCAGCATCATAAAGAGACCACATAATAGTTCTGTTTATACTATGACTGAAATTAAACCACACCATACCTTCACAGAGTTCACACTGTCATTTGCTATCTCATCATTGTCATCATCCCACTCTTCATCATCAATCCTTCGCACATACTGTTTGGGCCCCTGGAAAAGATAATACAGAAGAAAAAAATAATGAAAATTTTAGTTACAAAATGAAAAAAAGAACATGTATTAAAGGTCAAAGGACGAGGCATAGAGAGTTATCAATTCCTATACTGACATTGAATATTGATTTGATAAGGGCCTCATCTTCTTCATCCAACTTCTTTTCCTGTAGCATAATTCAACTTGGTCAGCCCACTACTTAACAAACAAGCGAAAAAAAGGGGGTTGTAACATCAACAGAGCAAGGTAAACATAGACAAAGCAATTCAGATACATATTTCCTAACCAGTGAGCAAGTTAACTTCAAGACAGATACAAATGACAGAAACATGAACAAGATATACAAGTATCATCACAACTCCACAAGAATGTGTGACTTCTAAGTACTTTACAATTGGCTTCATCTCAGTTCAAGAATAAGCATGCATGCATTCATCATATAAATAGGTTCACTTAGCATATACACTGGTATGATTATAGTGCATTAACGAATGATTATAACATGTTAAAACAATAGCAACTATAATACCATGGGATATTAAATATATAGATGAGTGTATTTTTTTTTTCTTTTTTAAGGTGTTCCCACCCAGTTCACCCTTTGGGCTAATCCGGATCAGACCTCAGTTCGTATTTTTTCTTTCTGTGATTGCCAATTTATAAACTTATATTTTCTCTTCTCATCTGAATGCATAATTCCTAGTTGGTTTTCTAGCACCTAAGCCCAAACATGATCTTAAACTTTCTAATGAGTACAGATGAGGTGTAACCATAACCAATACGTGGTCAATTAAATACACACACGAGTACATGCTAATTTTCACATTTAAGCTGCCATCCAATGGGACAATCAACCAACATCAGCTCTGATTTGTTTCCGGTATCAACTACCTATATTAGAACTCGGAATTCTAACAGAAAAGGGATAGCAAATACATGAAGCATAATATACTAGTATATGCTTGTTTAACTTACTAAAGTCTCTTAAAATAAGAAGCTCCATCTTAATACCAATAAACATTCTAATGCATTAACAGGAAAAGAATTCTAAATTAAAAAGGTCACCCCTTAGTTTGGAAGACTGGTGTATTTTGAGAAAACTCAAAAATACAGCGTAATATCACTATCAATTTATTTGAAATGTCACAATATATACAAACTTGAAACAAATAAATGCATACGGTCCCCTGTATTTAGTATGATTAACCAAATCCAAAGCAACAGCATTTAGTTATACCTTGTCCTCACCCGTCCGCTGCAAGGCCTCTAGCATTGCATCTACACTGACTGTTGCATGCCTTGACTGAAAAGAACACAATAAAGATTAACATAAACAAACTTAAAATAGACATCTGCTGTAGAGAACATACAATATAACCAAATATTAAATTCTAACACAAGTGAAGTACCCTCATAGACTTCATTTCATCAAGGGTTGCCAGTATATCCATTTCACGTTTTGAGTCCAAAGTTCTATTCTCTAAAGATTTCATGGCATCTCCCATTTCTTCAGAATCTCGTTTCATTTTCTCCTTCTCAATTTCCTGAAGCAAACAAAAATAACATAATCTAAATCAGCATCAAACAACAAACATTCTAAAAACTCTCAGAATTCAAATATCATTTTACAAAGCTCAAGCAAAACAATGGACATCAGCATAACTCACCTCATCTTTATCCCGCCAAGGTTCAAAATTCCGTGTGGCACCCGCCTCAACCACATAATCTGAGTTTTGTGGATCAGTTTTCATTGCCAGCTCAGCCGAGCACTTTGTACATTTGAAGTAAAATCGAAAAACTTGGATGCCCAAATATGTCTGAATAGTTTAGAATGAAATTCCAGGTTAGAGAATCACATCAACTCTACTTGTAATGCAATTTATCACAAAAAAAAATAAGCTATACCCATCAAATCAAACACCAACATAAACCTACAAGTATCATGAAATACAACTAAATCAACCAAATTCCAACACATAGCTTAGGTTTATAAGTTGAAGGATATAGGATACCTCGCCGATGACATCTTCTTTCCTCGAATTGAACTTGGTTCCTTTATAGATGTAGTTACCACACGTATTGCAGCGAATAGACATTGGCAACATCATTCGAACTTTGATTTGCTGATTCTTGGGCTGCCTTCGCCTCGGAATTTTGGCGGGATCAAAATCAGGTGGATAGTATTTGTTTAACACTTTCCTTTCTCCCATCTTTCTCTACTGTTTTCAATTCAGTATTCTACTTCGCCTTCTTCAATAAGAATTCTACCAAAAATTTATAAGAAAATCCACATTAAAGGGTTGGGCAATACATTATAGGGTTTTGCAATACATTAGCAACCAAATTTGATTCAATTATCAAACAAATCACGTAATTTTAGGTATATATGATTCAATTAAGGCTGGTAATTTTCTGTTCTAGCAACATAATTGCTGGTTAGTAATTAGAATCAATACTTCAGATTTCCGACAATTAAATTAGATGAAAGATGAACCCTAGATTGTGAAATTGGTTTGATGAAAACTAAAAGAAATAACAACTTACCTCAGACGCTGCTGAGAACGAACAAATAGTTTGTTATGGAGATCGTCAAGTGCGATATTGAATGCGCTCCAATGGAGAAGGAGGAGAGAAACGAGTAAATCAATGGTTTTTTTGTTTTGTTTTGTTTTGTTATTTACAGGTAATATAAAGGAAAATCATTTTTTTTTTTCTTTGAGACAATATAAAGGAAAAACTTTAGGAAACCTCTTCACAATAGGAAATTCATTATGCAAAATAATTTGTAAGATAAGATTCGGTGCATTAGTGCTGGTATGATTGCACGGGAATTCAATGGGTTGGAGCCCCCATTAATAAAAGTAAAAGGGCAAATATAATAAGTGACTCGACCCGACCAACCCAACTAAAATTTTAATGTGATCTCCCGTGATTCTTCAAGAATGAATCCCTGACTCGAGCCATTAAATAAGTTTATTGACAATATCCAATATGTTATGTATTTTTTATCTATTGTAAATTTCAAATTTGCAATACTTGTTTTATTCGTTCGTTTTTAATTTTATTGAATCTTTTTGGATTATACTTTAATTGAGTGGTGTAAATCCCAACCACACATAATGTATGTAAAACGCTAAACGATACCTTCATTTTACTTGGTTACACCCGCATTTTAAAATGAATGACAAATCTACTCTTACATATTCTCTATGATTTTCATCTATCCAATTCGAGAACATTCTCTCTCCTCCTAACAAACCACCACCACCAGGGGGCAAGGCCATCGTCGAAGAAAATGTTGTATTTTTGCGCAAAGCTAGAAATGCCTATTTTTTTTCCGAAAACACGAGGTGAAAACGGGCAAAAAAATTGAAACTCAAACGGTTATACGAATTATGGGGGTGTTTTGTGAGAAACGCCAAGAAATTTCGTAGAACCGTGAAGGTGATCGAAATTTTTAGGCAATTCTGCCATGGTGATTCGAAATTTTTAAATAATTCCCAAAAATTTGAAGAACAACTCAGATTTAGACGTATTAGTAGTGAATTTCGAGTTTAACGATGTTCTAAATCGATCTCTTGTTCATTACCTAGCACTTACTATAGTACTATAGTGCCTGATCCGATTTACTGAACTGAACTGATCGAAATGATTGGAGCTGAACTGAACTGAATATTTTATGAGAGAAGGAAATTAGGAATTTTACTGATTGGAGCTGATATGAATTGAACTGAATTGAAAATAAGTTAAAGAGAACAGGCCCTATGTACTTAGAAAAGACTATTGAGAGGCCAAATTATGCCTAGAAATAGGTTTTACAAGGGGTAGTTTTCATTTTTGGCGAATTTGAACCTTAATTTATCATTGTTTGTTAAGTATTTGATGTGAATGATTTATGTATGTGTAATCTACTCCACTTATTCTTAATTATTTAATGTAAATTTGGATTAAATTCATTGATTACATTAGAAAGCCTTAAATCCATATCTGACCTTAATTTTACTTTAAATTGCAATTCAAGAATTGGCCAATTTTAATTCAATCGTTATGTAATAGGTTTAATAGACTATGTTCCATGCTAATAATCTTCATATATTCACATATTAAAACATTAATTGGATTAGCTATTTTAATCTGAATCACTAGAACCCTAATTCTTGAATAAATGTTGAATTTTTTATAATTTGGGGATTGATTAAAAATTCATGGTATTCATGATACTCTTGCAATTTTGGGGAATTGATTGAAAACTAATGCACAACCTTCAATTTCATACAACCTCCAACAGAAATGCATTGGTCGATCAAGAGCTTAGCATGCATTCATCAAGTGCTATCGAGCTAAAAGAGAAACTAAACAATAAAGAAATCAACGTAACATCTAAACTTCTATATCTATAGGAAAATTTTGACAATTACCACTTACTATTGTTTCCATTTTAGCAATTACCACCTACTATTTTTTTTTTTTTGAAATTACCACCTATTTTTTTCTAAAACACTAAAAGTTCTCACCTAGGTGGCTCTCAACCACTTTATGACGTCATGTGAGCCACACATAATACCTTCCTCCCTTTTTCCCTCCCATTTCTTATTTCTCATTCGATAGTCATGAAACAATAACTTCGTAGTTTCAACTATTGAAAAGCATACATACATATACATATAAAAAAGAAACCTAAGTTATTATAACTCATGCATTAAACGGGCCAAAAGACTAGTTTTATTATTATTATAAATATAAATTGAGCTTAATCTAACAAAAAGCTATCAAAATAACATATACTAAGAAATAGATGATACGAGTAGTATATATTGTGTTTTATATAGTACTTGACGAGATAACCCAAGGAAATATGAAAGTCCATATTCAATTAGACTCATCAATAACACTAGATTTGGTACTCATTGTTAGACCATGCAATTTAGTAGCATAATCTAGCCCATACAAAATCCATACCATGACCAAGGAAGAAATGAGCACAAACACAGGACCAATCAACCACAACAACAAAGGCAGACTAATGCACAACATTCTACTCCCTACAACTCCCATTAGAAACCCTCTTTCCAACACTCTCTTTGTATGCCCACGGCTCAACAACTCGCCTGACGCGTTGATCAAGAAGTTAGCATCCACCAAGTAGCTGATGGCTATTGAGCTGCACAGGAAACTGGTCAGTAAGAACACCAATGCTGAACCATACTTGAGGACAACGATCCGGCCTGTTTGGGACCCGAAAAATTGAGTCGTAGCCAAAAGGTCACTGGCCTTGTACGCGTTGTTGGCTAATGCTGCTAGTGCAGTGGTTATTAGCATGGTTATGGTTGCTGTTAGTATTGACTCCATTAGAGTGTTCCTTAGGCTTTGAACTGCTAGTACCTCTTTCTTGTCATCACCCTGTTACATTTACATTGTGCATCCAAAAAAGTTAAAGTTATTATTATCAACCCTTCCAACTTTTATGAATTTGTTACAAACTTAGAAAACTAGCTCTGTGAAACAGACTCACACTAAACCTTCTCTTTTGCCTATCATGAATTAGTTATCATGTCGTCACACATCACATAATTAAAATTTATATCACACTACAAATGACCTTTATATTATAATATTTGTGTATTTCCATCTTTCGATCAATTTAACTTAATTTTATAAAGGCGAGTCAAGCTAGAAAATCTAACAAAAATCATTACTACGGTAAGAAAGGTACTTGGTAATAATTTTTACCAGCCATCCTAAAGGGCCTAAACTACTTTAAAAATTCCAATAATTTGTAATAAAGATAGAACTACATATATTAGATATATATCTCCAAACATATGGATTTTACTTTAAATAGATCAAATTAAGGTGTAACAATTAAGTGACACCATAATTCATGTATGATATATATATATATATATATATAATTAAAACTATATATATTATAGAGTTTATTTAATTAATTGAGGGAAAGAAATATTACCGTTTTGATACCTTGAAGCCATTCCCTCCTCTTGAGAGTGTTGATTCCAATGGTGGTAAGAGAAGGATTGTGCTTGAAATTGTGCCAAAGAAAAACATGATATCCCACACTCAAAAACAAACTTAAAGGAACTAATGTTGTATCCAAATAATTTGTCACTGCCATTAAATTGATTGAATCTTTTGAAGCTTTAAATTGGGAAACTAAAACTTGTTAGAGGAAATTAAGATTGATAACTAATCATAAAATTCCCCTCAAAAAATAAGTGGTTTTAAAGTTTGGTAAGGTGACTACTAATAAGGAAAAGTTGTGTCCTAGTCATGAAAGCAAATTAGAAGCTTTTCTTAATTGGAAACCAATAACTCAATTGGTAAATGACACATTGTGGAGCCCACATGAATTAAAAAAGATTAGTAACTGAAGCGCTATTATTTGTTCACATTTTTTTTACTTAATTAAAGCTTTTTAATGATAAGATAATATTGTAGATATATATATATGTGTCAATGAAATATTATAGGTATAAAATGGGAGATGGAATGCTGAGCATGCCAAAATTAGGCCATTTTGCCACCTTTGGTAATTGATAGTTGAGCCAATTAGGTTCATGATCAGCGTATAAATGCATGATGATTTACTTCATACGTATCTTGTGAAAAAATGTAAATTACAACGAATTTAGTTGGTTAATAAAGTATGAAAATCTGTCAATATCTGGTGTCCAATACATGAGATTAATATTGTCTCACATTATTTGTTCTTTTTGCCTCTTTCTGTACCAGAATTAAAGAGAAATAAATCTTGTGAAATTTGTTATTACAACTGTCAACTGACCATCAATATAATCTAATGACATATCTTATTTTAAATAGATAATTAGTATGAATTTAGCATTATGATTTTTATAACAGATTTAAAATAAATTTCTAAATAAAAATAAATAAATAAATAAATAAATAAGCTTAAAATATAATAAGAAACATGAGCATCTGTATGAGTGTCAATAGTCTTTTTTGACAGAGCACACTACTATTTATACTTTAACTATATTTCACATGCATTACCCAAGAAAAACAAAAAGGAGGCTAATTTTCACATGATATGTACCAAGATAATAATGGATTTTAGGGAGAAAAGTTCACAAATATAAGGACACTGCCAATTGCTAACCAAAAATAGAGCATCAGAGGTCATCAATGATCATCGATTAACGAATAGTGAGATGCACTCTCCAGTCTGTATGCACACTTTCATTGGATTGGGAAGGGACATCGAAGCAACAATGGCCAAAGATCAAGAAGGAAACAAAGCTTAAGAGAGCAAGAAAGGGGCCAAGAGTTAAACGATGGTATTCGCTTTTATAATGTACATACAAATGTGCAATCAAGTTATAAAACAGCCGACCTCAATGGCTCAATGCATTCAAGAACAGATTATAGTTTCTTACAGAGCACTATTGTTGGTAGGCTGTCTAACTTTCACATTAGAGTAGAAAATCATGCATGCTTGAACACCAAGCTCGAGGAACAAATACACAAGTCGGCTTGTTCTTTTCATAGCTAAGTTACAGTAATGAGTAATGACATGGTTTTACAAGAAAGCTTCCCCATTTCCCCCCTAATGCTTATGCTAAGCTGTTCTTCCGCATATATACAGAAACACAAAATCATGGATCAGTGAACGTTCTCCCCATTTCAGTATGGATGAGTCAAAATTATGGTGCAGCGGTTATAGAACTTGCTGCTGCTCCATCTATTCTCGCTTGTCCTCCTCCAGTTCCTCCCTAACCCCAACAAACACGTGATCAGTGGAGCCTGAAACTTTTCTCTCTTTCCTTTCGATCATGCTAGCCATATCAGCAGCAACCTTGACTCCACTGCTTGTAAGTGAGACACCCTCTTCGTCTAGGTCATCACCAGACTCTTCCAAATAGGCATACCTAAAAGCAAAAGAAAGTATTAGAATTGATATTTAGATGCATGATTCATGACACCTTCCTAAGACAGGAATCATAATGGGTGATAATATAGAGATAGCATACTACGGGCAACCAAATTGCAATAAGCATAATAATCTAATAACGTCCTGAAAAAGAACAAAGAACAAACAATGAGAGACTCATCACAGAATCATAAACAAACATTATTCAGCTTGCAGCTTCGGACATGGAATTACGAAATCAAATTTCCATATTGCACAAAAGTACAAACACAAATAACTAAAGTAGAAAATCAATTAATTGCTGCTTACTATGTTTCTACACCAAAAGGACCATTGGATGAAGGCACAAGATTCCAGGATCAATGAAAAAGGAAACTATAAAGGCAGCAACTTTAATCAATTCGTCAAATACTTAAGTCTTAGGCTCATATCATAAGTTATATGAGCAGTGGAGCAAGCTTGACAAAAGTAAGATCAGCCACAATTTCTATAGCTTCCAAGCAAAAGCCTCAATTTCTATAGCTTCCAAGCAAATTTGAGGGGTTACCATTATCTTTCATACCCTCCATCCAACATATTTCCTCCACTGCCCTAACATTGCACCAATAAGACTTTTGATGCTATTCACAAACTTCTCTTCAATTACATTATTGTAATATACTACCTGTGTTTCTCAATATTTACAACAAATGAATTTGCACGGACTCCTAAGCAAAATTTGTTTGCGAGTGTTAAATGAAAAAAGAACAATAGAGATGCATGTGATGTGGAGAGAGAAAAAGAACAATGACACTTAAAAAGGATAGAAAACATTTGTTGCAAATAACATGAAACATCCATTTTTGGCAAATGTTGCAAATAATATGAAACAGAGGTTAAAAATCAATCAATCAACCAAAGCCTTAATCCCATGCGTGGAAACGGAGGTAGTATATATTCAAATTATGTAGGGTCTTATTAAATTTGTCTTAGTATGTCTAAATATCTAATCTAGTTTTTATAATTTTTACTCCTATATAATTAAGAGAAAAAATTTTAAGATTGGAAAATGTTCACTTAGATGAATAAATCCCCCTATGTTGCAATATTTGGGATCCACACTAAAAAATTAAAATACCCTTACTATACTTAGTTATCTTCTTCTAATTCTATCTATATCACTTCAATAAGGTAAGTTTAATGATGTAAGAACAATCAATTTCTGTTTCGTAAAATGATTTTTTTTTTTTTTTTTTTTTGGGGGGACAAACCAAAAAAGTGGACATAAAATAGACACCTATGTATAACAAGGCAATTGCTTCAGAAGCTAAACCCATAATAAGTAGTTAAGTACTAGGAGCACAAGATTGTATCAAGCTCTCCTAGCTAATCAATGTTCTTATACTTGTTGTAGCTTATCTAGATAAACTGCCAATGTCTGTCTTGTACTCTAGTAACATGAAATTCCAGTGCCATTCCTTATTCTTTATCTATTTCAGTAGAACCTAAAACCATTAAAAGGGCAATTATGAATAGCATCTGTATGATTCGAGCTTGCAGGTTGCAAAAATCAGTTCCAATATTTCTTATAGCTCATCTTATCAAAAGTGCCAATGATAATCTTGGAGTGCAGGAATTCAAAATCCAAGAGTTGGAGTGCAAAAGATCAATCTGTCTAAAACAAAATAGTAAAATACTTATGTTGCTTCAGATACTAAGGAGCAAAAAATGATTAAAAAGTAAGAATAAGAGTTTGTTGACCATACAAAGGTGGACAGCAGAAATAATACTAGTAATCAAATTGACTACTGAACCACTGACCAGAACTGGCTTGACTTATTGTGTTATTCCTGTCATCCAACTTAAAAACGCAAACTGGTAATTAATGTTGTATATGCCTCCAACTCTCTTTTTTTTTAATATAAAAGAGTTAAGAGAATGAGTTAAGAAAATAAGTTTTTATATTTTAAAGGAGATAATCTTTGTTTACACTTTAAGAACCAAAATCATACAAAGATACACTCTTTGACTCTTTGTACAATAATAGTCTTCGCGTTATTCCAACTCCTAAGCCTTAAGGATATGACATGAATAAACTAAAAAACCCTTCATGACAGCTTATTCATTATCAGTTTCTCAAAGGCTTCATTACATGGTTTAGTATTTAGAAAGGCTAAAGCATAAGCATAACTATTTTAGAAAGTAACATAGTTTTCACATATCCATGATTAATTCGTATGTGGTTATTATATCCATATGTAGGAAAAATTAGGGAAATGAAAAACTCCTTATAAAATGCCGAAGATTATGGAGAGTATACACTATAGAAGGATGAAATAAGTTCCCAGATCTAGCATTCTAGCATTAGTAACTTAGTATTGAGGAAAGTAGAAGCATTCCCTCCCCCAAGTTTTATTTTTCTAGGGTATGGTAAAAGAGATGAGAGCAGAGGAGGGAAAGGTTTTACCCATTTTCTCATATTTCTTCAAAGATTCATTCCACCAAATTTTGTGGAATTGGTAGAATTATGCTCAGAATTGTAATTCAGCAATTTTATTATTTTGCCATGGTACTATGAAGATTCCACTAGATTTGTGAATCTTCATCTGATTAAAATGGTTTGCTAATATTTAAGAACAAGATCTTTAAAGCCTATGAACTGGATTCACAGGTTTACCATTGCCAGAAGATACAATAAATTTAAAAAAGCAACCCAATCAAAACAGAAAAGCAAAGATTCAATGGCACACCTATCCGGAAAACAAATTTGAACTATAATAACAATATACAGACAGCTTGTCACCTCCTATTAAAGGAACGCTAAGTGACTAGGCTGCAGGTGAGTCTCATACATCAACAAGAGGGAAGGGGAGGGGGAGGAGGACAATAGCATCCAAATTTAGCTTGACATTTTATACAGGATTAGCAAAGGCCTACATATTACCTATATGTCAGCAGCAAAGAAGTAATACAAAGGAAAAGGCAGTCTTTTTACCTGATTAAATTAGTTTCTATCGTATTCGTTTCCACTATAAAAATTCAAAAAAGCCATGAGATTGAACATAATGCACAGATATCTATATGTTTCCCAACAATAAATTTGCCTTTTAGTGTATATCAACCACCCACATGCAAGCATTGCAGAATAGAAACACCAACACTCTTTAAGTTCATAGCTAGTCTCATGAGAGGCACCACAGTCCACAGACATTGGGAACAAATCAACAGACTACCTATATGATATAACAAGTGCTACATACCTCGTAGGATTGCGAGAAGGAGCCCAGAGTATACATATCACAACTAAAAGAGAGTATGCAAGCAGAGCCCAAAAGGCAGGAATGATCCATGCAATCCG